CTCCCGAAAATTCCATGGGGCGGCCCTCTGCAGAATATAGACGCCTTACACCTAATAAATCTTCAACACTGTGGTAATCCGGAAAAACATCAGACTGCTTAAGGACACTTTCGCTAACTAGGGAAACAGCGGCACCCGTATCAATTAGAATACGGCGTATGTGAACAGGGGTAATTGAATTATCAGCTGTATTGGAGAACTCAAAAGTACCGGATACGTAAAATCCGTTAGAGCGTGCAGAAACATTAGGGATGGTCAAGTCGAGGTATTCCTCATCGTCAGATAAGTCATCGTGAAAACCAGCTTTTTCAGCAAGTAACACGGGCGTGGTATCAAAATTGCTTTCCATCATTACTTGGACCGGAGACCAGAAAGGCAAAACAGGCGTTTCGTCTAAATTCTCGGCCATGAATAATTGAACAGCGGAGTCGAGCGGCAAAACGGGTGTTACATCCGTATTTTCATCCATCAACATCTGTAGGGCATTAAGACTACTCTGGGGGGTGTTGTAAACAGGACGTGGAGGCACAACTGAAAGAAGGGGTTCATCCTCATCTTCTTCAACATCATGCAAAAGGGGGACATGTGCCTCCAATTCATCATCACAACACTCTAAATACTTAGAATAAAGGGCTTCCCGCGGAGATTCATCCACAAGCACTTCATAACCAACAGGTGAGTCCTCGTCATACCCAGAATGAAAATCAGCATCACTCAAGGGCACAGCGGACTGCAACAAACCATCAGCCTTACTTTGAAAATTATTGGAACAATTAGAATCCTTATCAGACGGGAAAACTGACAAGCTTTCATTACTAGAATACTTATGTGTAGCGGAGTCATCGGCAGGAACTTCAAATGGAGTAGAATAATCACAGTTACGAACAAACTTTGAAGAATCTGCCTCAGTAACTAGTTTAAATGGCTATTATGGAAACGGGTGGGGTGGGAAGATGGGCCAGGAGGACGATACCCATTCCTGTTGTCCCTAAACTCAACTCGACTGTTATGTGGACGGGGACCATGACGAGGAGGACTATACCCGGAACCTTGTTTACTACGGGGTGGAGGGGGACCATAAGCCATCCCTTGATCGGGACGAGCAGCATAGGATGCATCATGATCAAAATTACGGGGAGGACCATGTGGCATAGGGTGATCGTGATAACCCGACTCAAAAGAAGGTGGACCCGGGACTGAGCCACGAGGAGGGTCATAACGCCTAGCATAATTATCGTGATAGGGGGGCTGATAACCAGACTCAAAGGAAGGTGGGCCCTGGACTGAGCCACGGGGAGGGTCATAACGCCTAGCATAATTATCATGATGGGAGGTCTGGTAACCAGACTCAAAAGAAGGTGGGCCCTGGACTGAGCCACGGGACGGGCCTGTGCCATAAGAGCGAGCAGAAATAGAGATAGGTTCATTATGAGAAGAATCGTACTGGGGTCTACGGCCTTTATGGGGATCACCATTAAAAGTACTAACAGGGGCAGACAGGCGAGTCTCGAGTTTCTCTACTGCCAAACAGAGACGGGTGAGCGTATCAGGTTCATTATTGTACTGCTGTGCACGGGAGGTACTACTATTACCCTTTGAACCAGACCCAGGGGGACGCTCATCTCGTACAGAAGACACAGCTGCACTGTACGGATCATGACTATGATTACGCTCATGTCTGGCAGAGGCATCAGCAAATGAATGTGCTTCCAAATACAGAGCCCTACTCAGTGCATCCTGCATGGTTTCAGGTTGGCTATCCCTAACCCTTGCACGCAATGACTCGCCCAAAGCCTGAATGAAAGATTCCATGGCATAATCATCCCTCTCTAGTACTCCTGCTCTGGGATAAGCCCTGGCTGTCAACAAACGAATGTCGTCGGCTAAAGTCGACAACGATTCCCCATGTTGGCGGCGTTTCGTACGTAGCTGGGTTCTACGGACGTACTGGGCTTCGACTGGCATGTATCGCTCAGTAAGGATTTTGCGAAGGGTGTCATACTGCCCACATTCTACCACTGTTAAACTTAATAGAAAACGTGCAGCACTGTCACGAAGTGACCTCTTTAACAATACAAGTTTACAGTGAAGTTTGCGTGCAGCATCTTCATCCTTCGCCTCCAGAGCAGTCAGAAAGGGGTTATGAGTAACGGGAGTCCCAACATCTGAACCACGACCAAGGGGACCCGGACACTGATAGTCTTTAGTGGGGAGGGAGGCATCTGGTTTACTACTACTGGCACTAGACTTGGACTTTGTATCATCAGCATAATGAATCTTTGGTGTTGGAATATCATCAGGTGCGTAAGGACCGTCCGAACAAGCTTCAGAGTACCGAGTATAAAATGTAGCCTCTTTAGGTGGGGCCGGGGTAGACGTAACAGGAGATGGTGTAACCGTATAGTGTGAACCAGATGCTTCCCCTCGGGTTCTTATGGGGGCTGGACGGACAGGCCGAGCCAGAACGGTAGTATCATCCCAACCATTGGCATCACAAGCATTATCGAAATCTAATAAGAATGCTTCGAAATCCTCGTTCTCTTTGCCTGAGAATGGACGGGGCATTATCCAAGAAGATTGACTTGACATATTGAATAGTTTTTTTTTTTTTTTTTTCAAGATCAAAATATGGAAGACCGAACAGGTTCGTACTAAGGATGCTACACTATACTAGACAGTAAGGCTGATAAGTCTGATGCACCCGAAACACCACAAAAGGACACCAATTAACACAAAAGGAAAACGAACAAGAACACAACGGTAGGCAGAAGCACTTATGACTAATATGATACACAAGCTTATCGAAGTTACTCACGCGGGGAAGTGAAAGGCACCGGGAATATTCATTACAGAGTCGTTGGTAGTCGGTAGAGCGGAGGGAGTGGGTAATTAGAGCCAAAGTTGGGCGCCAATGTTGTCAATTCACAATGTTGTCTATTCACACACCAGAGAGACCAGTTTACGAGAGTTGGTAAAGTATATATTATCTCACGACGAGGACAGAATTATTCGACATCAACATTAGGGAGTGGATTCTTCTTCTCACTAGATTATCGAAGTTTGGTTATCTTAGAGTGAACTAGAATAGAATGTACGGTACAATGCATGAGCGCGCCCATTTAGCTGGGCGCGTATATTATGTGTATAGCCCGACTATGTACACTATAAAGGGATGTAATTAGATCAAGTGTACGGTGGTTTTTATGTGCAGGGGCAGAAGGAGGGAAAACGGGCTACAAATGTGTACGGTACTAATTATAACATGCAGGGGCAGCGGGGAAATGGGTCAAATATGGTTATAAGTGTGTACGTACGAACTACTGCATGCAAGGCTAGGGGTAGGGGATAATGGGTCAAATATGGTTATGAAGTGTGTACAAACTAATGCATGCAGGGCCAGGGGTAGGGGTTAATGGAATGCGTATGAACTACAGCATGCAGGGGTAGGGGTGTGTATGAATTACTGCATGCAAGGGTAGGGGTAGGGGGTAATGGAATGCGTACGAACTACTGCATGCAGGGCTAGGGGTAATGGAGTGCGTATGAACTACAGCATGCAGGGGTAGGGGTAGGGGGTAATGGAATCATGCCGGGGTCGGGATCCAAATATGGGGGTGCGTATAACACGTGGACGTAGACGCAGCGCTTTGTACCATGGTGTGATGACAGCCTAAATGCGCCATTTCGTTCTTATAAAAGCACGGATGACCGCGATTGGCCCATATGTTGTAGTCTTTTGGACGCTGAGTCGACTGGTTTTGGTCCGAAAAGGCTGCGATGCAGCGTTCCGCCTTTATTCCCAATCGAACATGGTTGAACAAGCGGTCACGTGCTCCTGCGTACGCCAGTCACCTGGTCACCGTGCCTGCAGGGTACAACTAACTAACTTACTAGCCTGTTTGACCTTTTTTGGGTGCAGTCCTGTCACTCGAGTTGTATTGAACCTTGGTGTGAAAGTTGTCACCTGCTGGCGTGGTGACCAGGTGATTTGGGCACCCAGGAGCACGTGACCACTTGTTCAACCATGTTCGATTGGGAATAAAGGAGGAACGCTGCATCGCAGCCTTTTCGGACCAAAACCAGTCGACTCAGCGTCCAAAAGACTACAACATATGGGCCAATTGCGGTCATCCGTGCTTTTATAAGAACGAAATGGCGCTTTTAGTGACATTTTGCATACAAATCCCCATCTCGTAGGGCGCAGTCACCCAGTTTCGGTGGAAGTGCGCGAGTTCGATTGGGATTCAAGTAGGAAGGGAGCGTCTCAGCTTCCTCGGACCAAGACCATTCGACTCAGCACCCCGAAGACTACAACTGGTGAAATTTTAATTTTTGCCTTAACTTCCCCTTTAAGTCACGGTTACAACTTACAACTAACTTGAGAATGATCGGTTTCCATTTTCAGCCAGGTTTACACACGACCCGGTACTGTTTGGCCTGGTATGTGTTTTAGATTTTACGCTGACCAAGTGCATAATCCAAAAGCCACATCCGAGTGAAGTTTCCAACCAGAAATTCGGTTGACACAAGTTTGACGAGCCGTGAACTTGGTGACGAAACTGACTTAGTCTTTATGACTGTACCGCGGCGGTGCTACATATACCGAGTGTATGAGTGTTTACTGCTGAGGAGGCTATGTGCACATCCTCTATATTCAATGATACACAACGTATGAAAGTCCGGGGTATGGCAGGACCAATCAAAACCTGTTTCTGCCGGTCCTACACACGCACCCGCCCGCACACACATGCACACACACACACACACCTGTCCTGTCCTGTAGAGCCACTGCCACTAGGGTCACGTGGACCCCGGAGGGGCAGCAGAGAGAAAGAGAGAGAGAGAGAGAGAGAGAGAGAGAGAGAGAGAGAGAGAGAGAGAGAGCACGCCACCCGATGGCGCTACACACACACGCACGCACGCACACACTCACACATACATACACACCACACACACACACACACACACACACACGCGCGCGCACACACAGGCAATGTCAGTCAACAGTAAAAACTGTTTTTAAAATAAAAAAAGAATACATGAATATGCAAGCCGTCGGTGTTGTCAGCATCAACGGTACACTGAGAACAAGATACCCAGCAGCAATGCAAGCGACAAAGCTTGGTGGAAAAGAATGAAGGAATGTCTCAAGTCTCGTCAGAAGAAATCCAAGAACATGTTCAGGCAAACAGACAGTCACACACCAATATGGACAAGCCTACATGCTCGCCACGCTGACATTTGAAAAGAACCAAAAAGGAAGGTCAACACACAGAATAATAAAAAAACACAAGCTAAAAGTAAAGTGCCACACTGCAGTACAAGAGGTTCCACTGCGGGAATGTACAGTCTCAGTGTTAGAGCCTAGCCTCACAGGAGTACAGGTCAAATACAGAGGGGGGGGGGGGGGGGCAGCACAGGAAAAACAAACAACACTGCAGTTCAAATCAAGACAGCGGCCAGCAGGTGGCATTTGTGTAACCCACGCAGGTACTAGACAGCACGGCGATGCGTGCAAAAATAATACAAGTATCTGAGCAGCGGTTGAGACGCTCAAGTCTTCACGGTAGCCTGCCACCGATCTAATATGACACATGTGGAATATGATGAGAAATATGACTCTGGAGATGGTAAATATCGTGTCAGCGCACGGTAGTCTACCAGCACGTTATATTTGAAGAGAGAGAAAACATTTGACCATGCTATATTTAAAACGAGGATGCTACAAACAGGTCGAGCAGCCTCGGCGGATAAGATAATTCGGAAAGAATATCAAAATCAACATACTATACCAGGGTAAAAACAAGGGGGCATACAAGCATGTACCATGCACACGGACACACACACACACACACGCACGCACGCACGCGCGCGCGCACACACACACACACACGCACACATGCAACACTAGTCTTGCGTTGGAGAGAGAGAGAGGGGGGGTGGGGGGAATGTGCACGGGTATGTACGCGTAGGGATAATCAGAAGTGGGTGAGTTTCATTGACGACGACATCGACAACAGCAGCAACAGCAGCAGCAGCAGTGTATCTGTCTAAGTGACATGCTGGAATGCACAAGGACAGTGTAGACATTGTAGGCTTGTTCCAGAGTGAAACCAGCACTCCGGTTGTGATTGTCCCGGCTACACCAATCAACAGCAGCAGCAGCAGCAGCAGCAGTACTGTTAGCACCATCGCTGCCATCACAATAGCAACATCAGTCGGCCTATACTGCAACATGCTTAGCACCATCGCTGCCATCACAATGACAAAATCAGTCGGCCTATACTGCAACATGCTTAGCACCATCGCTGCCATCACAATAGCAACATCAGTCGGCCTGCACTGCAACATGCTTAGCACCATCGCTGCCATCACAATGACAAAATCAGTCGGCCTATACGGACCATCGCTGCCATCACAATGACAACATCAGTCGGCCTATACTGCAACATGCTTAGGACCAGCGCTGCCATCACAATGACAAAACCAGTCGGGCTATACTGCGTCGATTACACCCGGTGTCAACGATGCACGAGCACGGACATCAGAGCAGTGGACAGAGGGCGACAAGGAGCTCTCTTCACCAGAGCCATGGCCGATGGCAGCATCACCAGTGGCCGCACTGCCAGCGGTATTATCTATGGCAGCATGACGGTGACCAGACGATAGGTCGTTGAGTGCTGTGACGTGCGTGCCGTCGGCAAGTGATGCTGATTGTGCCGGTGATGACAGCAGGACACTGGAGTCGGAGAACGACATGTCGTAGAGAGAAGACGATGACGACAATGGCGACACGTCGTGCTCCTCCAGTACGGGGGTATGGTCAGAGAGCGGCGACTGTACGGGGGTGCCGGCGGACGACATTGCCGCGCCAAATCGCAGGGAATCTGTCGATGACGAATGCCGGTGCTGAAAGTAGACGTCGTGCTTCTTCTTGGCGACCAGATTGAAGAAGTGGCCAACTTTGGCAACAACGGAGCGCGTGACTCGTCTTGTCCATAGGTAGATGATGGTGAGGAAGAAGATGAGATGATAGATCATAACTAGATACCAGTTACTAAGCCAGTGTAAGTTGCCAAACATACCCACTAGGTCAAACTTGCTGATACCTGCAAACACACACGCACGCACACACACATGCACGCGCGCACACACACACACACACACACACACACACACACACACACACACACACACACACATACACACACACACACACGCACACACACGCACACACACATACACACACACACACACGCACACACACGCACACACACGCACACACACGCACACACACACACTCATACACACACACACGCATGCATACATACAATGATACATAGAACATGAATGTCCAGTCAAACAATCAGTATTTACTCCCTGAAGTTCCACGCTGCAAGTCACGATTGCATTATTGCATGGAAGTTTGGTGTAGAGACAATCCAGCCTGCATGTCAGCCTGATATCTCTACTGGAACCTATGCAGTGTCTGTTTCAGAGCCGGTCAGCCGGGTCAATGACCCGATTGGGGGGGGGGGGGGGGGGGTACTTGGACTCGTTTCGAAAAATAACACCGGTCAGGGTGAGAGTCAGGTTGAGTACTTTTTTTTAGACTTCAAGGAGCACACAGTGATATGACATGCTGCAGCTAGTGCAGGCGTGCGCGCAGACAGACTGCCCGGTACTGTAAAACCTGAAAGTCTAACGACCATTTTTTCCCCGTTATTTGAAGAAACGTTATCGTGAACCCGGTTTGAGATGTCTGTGTAAAGATGCGCATACATCAATGCATGCTCTTTCCGTTGTACAAACATTGTTAAACTTTCCGCACGTCATCATGCCAAAATTACAAAAATGTTAAACTTTTTGGTCGTTTAAAAACTTTCCGGTTTTACAGTAGATCTACGTTCCTACATGTATGACAGGGGCACCGTCGGAAGGTAATTTAGTGTGGTACGGTCAGCCATCTGAAGTACAATTTACTCGTGGGGGAGGGGTGGCTGAGCGGAAAATTTTGGAAAATTAGAGCCCAAATCAGTGCATTTTATTGATTTACGAGGTACTTGGGCAAATAGTGGTACGGTCAATACCGTAGTGACCGTACCGTGTGCGACGCCCCTGTATGATCATGAACATCAGGGAGTCGCAGAATACTTTACCACTCTCCGATGTACAGTAGGCACACACTTGAAGGTACCGGGCTCTGACCCGGTTGCAAGAGTTGTGTAAGGTACAGGTTTGGCCGCCGGGTGGTTTGAAATCCTAGAGCAGACACTACAGTCAGACCTCGCTTAACCGCACACATCTGTTCTCCACAAAAATATCCGGATAGGCGAGGGAACCGGATAACCGGACACCGTTTATGTTGGATGCATCACGTATGCTGTAAATATGTAACCAGCTATTTTCTTCCGGATGGCGAGGGATCCGGATAAAAGAGGACCGGATAAGCGAGGTCTGACTGTATTATGAGTAGTAAGGCTCTGCAGTGCTGACTAGATTGTGCTTGCATTGAGCATGTTGGCCTGTTGTCATGGTTTCCTTGCAAATGCTCAGAACACGTACAGTAACAACTCAGATGGTGAGCCAAGGAAAAAATTGTAATATGGAAAAACGAGAGCATAAGTTATGCGATCGAGTCCACAAACTAAACCAGACTTGTCGGTTTTGTGCTAGATTGTGCACGCCTGACTGTTCAAAACCTGCTTTAGTTGGTAGACTCGATCGCATAACTTGTGCCCACATTTTCCTTGTTACAATTTGAACAGTAGATAGGAATTCAAAAAGATGCTCAAATATGGAGATATTTGTGTGACAAATATGGAGATATTTGTGTGACAACCCAGTGCTAGAGTATTGTTGGGTGCTGAAGAGCAGTTAGTAGCATCATCATCAGCAGCAGCAAGAGCAACAGTTGCTTACCCAATGATCGAATCAACACCGGCAACGCCGAGCTCAGTAACAGCACAAGATTGCAGTTTGCTATCATCTACAACAAGCAAACAACAAAAACATAGCAGCAGCAGCAGCAACAGCAGCAGCGGGAGAGGGAAGAGAGACTCAAAAGATATCTTGGAAAGATGATTCAATTGGCTATCGAACCATCCAACAGCCAACACCCCCTGAATTCCTCAAACGCTAGCTGGACTTGGAAAATGATCCCACTTATGGGCTCCCCACATCTCAGATAGTGGGTGAGGACAAGGTGCAGAAAAAGGATTGACAGAAATAGGGTATCCGTCCCGGAATCCAACTGCAGGTACCCACACCCATCCACACCCACTCACATGTACACACTCACACGTAGCCACCCCCCACCACCCACACACACACACACATGCACCCCCCCCCCCTCACCCACACACATGTGTACCCCCCCCCCCCCCCTCACCCACACCCATGTGTACCCCCCCCCCCACACACACACATGTACCCCTCACCCACACACATGTACCCCCCCCCCCCTCACTCACACACATTCTCTCTACGTACCAATAACATGGGTGTGTCTCCATGCCGAGGTCTCCAAGATGCAAAACTTTCCGACGTGTAAACACCGATGAGTGACGATAAAGCAAAGAATCTGATACAACGCATCCACAGCTAAGGAAAATACTGACAAGTTTGCTTTCCAATTTAGTGGGAGAAGACGTGTTCACCATTGTTCACCAATGTAGAAAGACCACAGTCATTAAAGGGGAAGTTAAGGCAAAAATTAAAATTTCACCAGTTGTAGTCTTCGGGGTGCTGAGTCGAATGGTCTTGGTCCGAGGAAGCTGAGACGCTCCCTTCCTACTTGAATCCCAATCGAACTCGCGCACTTCCACCGAAACTGGGTGACTGCGCCCTACTAGATGGGGATTTGTATGCAAAATGTCACTAAAAGCGCCATTTCGTTCTTATAAAAGCACGGATGACCGCGATTGGCCCATATGTTGTAGTCTTTGGGACGCTGAGTCGACTGGTTTTGGTCCGAAAAGGCTGCGATGCGGCGTTCCTCCTTTATTCCCAATCGAACATGGTTGAAGAAGCGGTCACGTGCTCCTGCGTACACCAGTCACCTGGTCACCGTGCCTGCAGGGTACAACTTACTAGCCTGTTTGACCTTTTTTGGGTGCAGTCCTGTCACTCGAGTTGAACCCGAGTTGAACCTTGGTGTGAAAGTTGTCACCTGCTGGCGTGGTGACCAGGTGATTTGGGCACCCAGGACCACGTGACCGCTTCTTCAACCGTGTTCGATTGGGAATAAAGGAGGAACGCTGCATCGCAGCCTTTTCGGACCAAAACCAGTCGACTCAGCGTCCCAAAGACTACAACATATGGGCCAATCGCGGTCATCCGTGCTTTTATAAGAACGAAATGGCGCTTTTAGTGACATTTTGCATACAAATCCCCATCTCGTAGGGCGCAGTCACCCAGTTTCGGTGGAAGTGCGCGAGTTCGATTGGGATTCAAGTAGGAAGGGAGCGTCTCAGCTTCCTCGGACCAAGACCATTCGACTCAGCACCCCGAAGACTACAACTGGTGAAATTTTAATTTTTGCCTTAACTTCCCCTTTAAGAGAACCACAGTGAAAGTCGACACAAATACCCCTTTCCCATGCAAAGGTACTAAAGCATGAACACATTGAACTGTGCTTATAATTATGTTGCAGTACGTTATTTTGTGTACGTCGTGTGTACGTCATGTTGGCGCATGCGCGTGTTGCTGTGGTAAGAAAAGCAGTCTTCGTCTTGAGTTCATCATGTCTTCGTCTTGAGTTCATGATGTCTTCGTCTTGAGTTCGTCATGTCCAGTTGTGTTTCTTCGTCGTGTCAATAAACAGTCTTCTAAATGAGTTATCGTCGTCCCTTTGTACAAGTGTGGAGATGGCACGGGACTGGGAGCAGGTAGAGCAAGGCAGTTACAACAATTATACTGTCCACAGCGGAAGTGCAGCTGAAAATTGCACTTTTTTAGTACCTACTTCTTCCGGAAACTTACCCTCGAGTCCTAGTGACAACGAGTGCTGGACGTAGAGAAAATAACACGCCAAGCCTAGGAAGTGCAGGGAGCACATGAAAAATCTCTGCGGACACGCTTCTTGCTCCTCCATCGCAGCACCCTACCCCTTCTAAAAGAAACGACTTGAGCAGCAACATGAAAGTGAAGGTAAGTATAGAATATAAGCTGAGTCCCGAGTGTTTAGGCCATCATTTTTTATATCTATGTTTCGCGTCAGTTCAACTTCCAGAATCATATGCGAGAGGTGGAAAAAAATAAAAAGTTGCAAAATAATAAAAAGGCTCATCAGAGGTGTATGCACTGTACATAGCACAATAGCTCGTGCATGGTGTACATTTGAAAGAAAAATCGTACATTGAAGCACAACATCTGGGTTATCAGCATTAGTAAATATTCACTTTGGACAGAGGAGGCAACCGTTGGTCATGGTGCCTATGCTTCGCTGGAATATTGTACTCAGACTTCAGCAGCGGTGCAAAGAGCTCCGGAACGACACATCCTCTCAGCTTAGGCGATCAATGCGGTCTGGTGTAAGCTCATAGAATATTGCTCCCAGATGCCGAACAAATGATTTACCAACGCTGGCCTAGGCTAGAGGCCATTTCTGAATCCCAGCTTCGCCGTATGCAACCTGTCCACACTGATGACTCGCACGATCATACACTCACTGTGCATGTTCGATTTTTTTTATTTTTTTCCGAAAAAAATCAAAAACGTATGCGTGCGGACGACGTGAAACATAGCTATAAAAAATGATGGCCTTACGGGAAGTAAAAATCCGAGGCAAAAAACGCGGCGAAGCCGAGGTTTTTTGCCGAGGGTTTTTTTCCCGTAAACACGAGGGCGAAGCTTATATTCTATTTAAATTATAGCATAAAAAACGATTTTTATTTGCACATGACTTACGTACGTCTGGGTAAAGGGGGACGCATGCGCAGTAATTCCTTGTCATTTCCATGAGCATTGAGCAAGAACGTTGCCTTCTTCATTTCCTTGTAACCTTTTTTTGCTTTAAAGAACTATGGCTGAGTCTTCGCGTTTTAAACTTGTAAGTTCCGCAAGGAAAGACGAGCTGTTGGAGGGCGCAGTGCCGAAGTCAACCAAAACGGCAACGAAATTCTGGTTGACTGTTTTTTCCCGATTTCTTGTCAACGCATAGCAAATCTTCTGACTGGAAAAATGTTGCAGAGGGAGAACTTGCAGGCCTGCTCGAAGACTTCTACTGCTCGGCTCAAAAGCAGGACAAATCCGAGTACAAGCGTTCAAGTATGATTGCTGCTCGCGGGGCATTTCACGCCACCTGAACTCTCTAGAGCGAGGAATCAGCCTGCAAGGTCCGGCTTTCAACAGGTCTAACAAACTCTTGGATGCTGTGCTAAAAGAGAGGAAGCGGACTGGTTTGGAGGCTCCTGTTGTCCACAAGGATAGTATTGCTGATGATGATTGGGTTCTCCTAGGCTAAAGGAGTATTATTTCGCCGATGCGTCAACCACACTGGATGTGAAGAAGGTGACTCAGTTTGTATGGTTCCAAACTACGCTTCACTTCTGCCTTCCTGGTGTAGCGACCTCACACACTGTGTATTACGCCACTATCACATAAGCAAGCGCAGGAAAATAAAACATTCTCTTTGGTCTCAACTTCTTTGTTGTCCGCTTGGCCAAAGTAGCCGTCGTCTAGGGCCCGACGTAAAACCCTATAATTATTGGTGACCCCAGACGCTGCGCTCTTCGGAGTTTTGAGCATGCCATCCCCGAGCTCGGCCTGCCGCAGTTTCCTGCTCGCCTCAACTCTCGGGATCCCGTCAATCACCGGCTGTTGACGTAAAACTTGAGCCTCACCACCACTCGTCACTGGATCCGCCTCGGAGCTGCTGTGGCCCCTGCCACCCTCCCCGGCCCAACTGGATACCCCGCTATCCTGCCACGGACCATCGTTCAGTCGTCGTCGTCGTCCGTATTCGTCCTGGCCTCAAGCTGGAAATTGGCTACCCCCACCATCCGTACCACCTCAACTGTGCGCGCATGCAGGCACACGCCCGGCACCGGACCTCGTGGAGCTGCGCACGCATCCACCCACCCCGCCTCACTCGGCACGCCTCGCCCCAGTGCAGCGCTCCGGCTGGTACTCCGCAAAGCCTGCAACATGCAGCCGCCTCTGACATGATAATACTCCTCTGTCACGCGTACGTAACTCGTTTCCTCTTTTCTCCTCGCCTCTGACACGATAATACTCCTGTCACGCGTACGTTTCCTCTTTTCTTTCTTTCTGCCTCTGACGTGCTCTCCACCTCTGTCACGTTAACACACCTCTGTCATGCATCTCTCTCTTTTCTGCTTCCTGATTTTTGTTCAGCCTTTGTGCCACGTTGTTAACAAATTTCATACACGCAGCGCTCTCGCTTGTACATATTGTATTATATTTTTTCTCTTTCCGCCTTGTACATGCGGCGCTTCCTTTCTCTTCTCTTTCTTTTTTCTTGTTTATCGTGCTTCGCTCCTCCCGACCTCACCCCTGGCGGGGGAGTACTGTAGCGACCTCACACACTGTGTATTACGTCACTATCACATAAGCATGCGCAGGAAAATAAAACATTCTCTTATGTCTCAACTTCTTTGTTGTCCGGTTGGCCAAAGTAGCCGTCGTCTAGGGCCCGACGTAAAGCCCTATAGTGGAAACGAGGCACAAACCCAACTGAAGCCGTCACACCTCGTGTTCAGCACTGTTGCAAGTGAGGAAGCTATCTTGTTACGGGCTCAATGGTCAACTTGATCTAATGTCACTATCAACAGGATGGCTCCCACGCCTGAGAAGAGGAAGAAGCGACTCAGTTTAAACTTTAAAGCTTAAGAAAAAACCCAAGAAGGAAGCCGAGGAGAAGCAGGAGTAAGCCTATTCGTGGTTACTTCCATTTTCTGCCTTTCGTGTCGTTCAATTTTGTAATATTATTGTTATTCCAGTTTTTCTTTTCGTTGTGCTGTTTTTGTTCTGTACCATGCTAGATTGTTTTTTTCTCCCAAAAAGTGGTTTTTTACAGAACCAGGTTTTTATACAGGTTTTTTACAGCACCTGGTTTTTTATATGAGTGATTACCAGAAATATTAACTGCTTTTTAGAACACGTAAATGACTGGAGGTTTTTAATAACTTTTTATACTATAATTCAAGACATTGTAACTAGGGTTGCAACGAATATTGTATAAGGTTAACGAACGAATACTGTCCTTATCGAACGAATATTGAATATTCATTTTTTCTAAAGACATTTGTAACAACCACACCAACCACACCGACCCATTACAAGTGTAGTGCAGTGACAGGAAACGTGTGAACGGATACGTAACAAGAGCCATCTCCAGCAAAGCTCCGACAGATCCAAGAACAGTTTGTGAGCTTTTCAAGCGACCCAGGAATACTTCCTACACGTGAAAACACAACAACAACAACAACAACAACAACAACAACAACAACAACAACAACAA